CACACACACACACACACACACACACACACACACACACACAGGCAAAAACACCCACGACCTGCGGTCCATGTCCTTTCTTTGGAGTGGATGATCAATAAGTGACTATGTATCGACTGTTGAAGGAAAGGCGCAAAGAGAGAAGCCAGGGGAAGGGGAAGCGCTGGAAGGGATCCTGAGCTCTGTGCATCAGGATGAAGCGGCACTGCCTCTTTCCCTCAGAGGAGAGTGCGTCGGTCTCCTCCAGCGGCAGTGGAATGCCTGTGGATTGGTATCCAAATGCTCTGTTCATGAGTTCCTGCCATAGTCAGTCCATTCACCCATCCCACCTGCTTAAGCACCCACCTCTTCACCAACCCAACCACCCAMCCATCCATCCACCCCCTGATTMATTTCACAGCAAATCTTTGTGAGTGGGGAAGGGTGGATGGTGGTTGCTTTCTCTGCRGTTTCCTGACAGCTGCCCCTTCTGAAGAATCTAGAGAGCCTGGGAGGTGGCCTGAGTAATGGTGTCAGGACACCTTTTCCCTTCCTGAGGCTAAGATGGGGCTGGGGGCCCTGGGGATCCCTGGGGCCTCCCAATCTCCAGTCCCACCTCCAGGGCCCAGCGACCTTTCCCACCCTAACGCCCTTGCTGAGACCAGCAGCGCGCTCCTTAGCGCCACCTCGTCAAATCCGGGGCGGGCCATTTAAACAGCGAAGGGGAGTGTCTCCCGTGTCCCCTCCGGTGGCACGTGCTCCCCGCTTCTTCGCTGCTAGAGGCTGCGTTCCTGGAAGCACTTCTGGGTCGGGGGAGGGAAGAATCAGGGCTCAGCCCTCGGAGAAGGGGCAGCCACTTTTGAAGTGACTTCACCGCGTGCGGTTGAGTGCCGGCCGAGGTGGCCCCGGCACCTCCCGAGCCCAAGCGCGGACCGCACGTGGGCGCTGCGCTTCCCAGGTGGGCGCGGGTGGCAGCCCGGGCCGCGTCCCGCCCCCGGGATGCTCGCCCTCCGCGCTGCGCTGGGACTGTGGCTCCTGGGGACGCTCGGAGCCTTCCCACAGGTAAGGCGGTGGCAGGAACCTGGGGAGGCGCCCGCTGTCCACAGCCCCGGACGGTGTGTGGTGCCGGGGCGCAGCGGAGGGCGCGGCGGGCGCAGGGACGTTCCTCGCCGCGTCCCCGTCCAGCGTCCCTGTCCAGCGGGCCGGCAGGTGGGAGGTTGTCTGGGAGGCTAGCGGGGCGCCTCCTCCCGCCCGCCGATCTCTAATTCTAATTGAACTATTTCTATTGAACTGTCCCCACTGYGCACAGGTGGTCGGGCCAGATGGGGCCTCCCTTGGCGGCAGGAGGTTGGTGGCTCTGCCCAGCTGCCGCTCTGTCTCTAGGCTGCCACTGGCTGGAGGTCTAGGGAGAGAGGGYCAGAGAGGGTCAGAGACAAAGGCTGGACTAGCTTCCCCAGCCCTGGGGGCATTGAGTGGCCTGGAGCACATGGTGGACTTTGTCCCTGGAGAAGGGTCAGCCGTGGGACTGGCTTCTGTTGTGGGAAGCCCAGAAAAGAGTTTGGGAACCGCATTAGAAAACCTGAGCAGTTAGCCTGGCACGGTGTGGCACACATGTGACCCCCAGACCAGGAGGATCCCAGGAGAGGCCAGAGGACCCCCAGTTCCTGGCCAGCCCGGGCAACAGTGGGACCCTGTCTCAAAACAAAATAAAATAAAAAAGGCTGGGGATGTAGCGCAGTGGAGAGCCCCAAGGTTTCAAACGGGGGGGGGGGGGAGTTTTTCCATCTTCCAGTAGCAAACCCTAGACTAGGTGCTGGCATAGGGGTGGGGAGACCTCAGCAGGGTCTGCAGAGCCCSGTCTGCAGAGGAGAGAGAGCCCCTGGCTGAATACAAACTGGGGAGAAGGAGGGAAGAGCCTGGCTGCTGGTGGGGACAGCTCCCTCTGTCTATGGGAACAGCCTTGGGCGCTGGGAAGTTGAGTCCCATCCACTGGGGCCTCAGGCAGGGTGGGCACCAGGCAGGAGGGAGAGGGAACAAGTGTCCCCTTCCATCTCCAGCCAGGCAATGGGAACCACCTGCCCTGCAGAGGGCAGAGGAGGGCAGCCCATTGTGCACACAGCAGGGACTCGGCTAGAGAATCCACCCAGTGCTCCTAGCCCTCAGTGGGGGCGGGGAAGGTAATAGGACTCGGAGAGACCGAGGGCAGGAAGGAGTGGGGGGAGAGGCAAGAGCTAGGGAGACTTTGCTGTGTTTGGTGACTGAAGCTAGTGTGCTGCAGAGAGAAATCCCTTTAAAAAAAAAAAAAAAACAGGGGCTGGGGCTGTGGTCAGTTGTAGAGCACCTGCCTAGCATGTGGAGGCTTGGGTTCTACCCTCAGCACCGCATGTAACTAACTAACTAACTAACTAACTAACTAACTAAATATATGTATGTCTAAAAATACAATAACACTGTAAAAGCTATACATTTAATAACACATGGGATTTGTGACTATATTCTAAAAGCAAAAACTATAAATGCTTCAGATAAAACTGTTTTTTTTTAAGGTACGAAGGTTTTTTTTTGTTTGTTTTTTGGTACTGGGGATTGAACCCAGGGGTGCTTAACCACTGAGCCACACTCCCAGCCTTTTAAAATATATTATTTAGAGACAGGTCTCACTGAGTTGCKTAGGGTGTTGTTATATTGCTGAGGCTGGATTTGAACTCATGCTTCTTCTGTCTCAGCCTCCCAAGCCACCAGGATTACAGGCATGCACCACCATGCCAGACAGAACCTGGGGTTCTTGCACAAGCTAGGCAGGCTGTCTACCACTGGGCTACACTATATCCCCAGCCCTTTTTAAAAAAAATTTATTTTGAAACAGGGTCTTGCTAGATTGCTCAGGCTGGCATTCAACGTGAGATCCTCCTGTCTCAGCCTCCTGAGCAGCTGGGGTTACAGGTGTGCATCCCTGCACCTGGCTTCCTTTACAGACCTTTGTAGGTRCATGGCCATATTTGTATTGTTTTTGTAGAAATACACAGGGCTTCCCATAAACCATAACCTCTGGTTCATATGACTCTTCATTTGGCTTTTATAACATCTTCCATGTCTTGGAGAGCTTTCCATATGGATATTTTAAGATCTGCTTATCTTAAAACACTGCCTAGTATTCTACAAAGTGGGGAATTTCTTATTTATGTCCCTGAAGAAAGAGTGGGTTTTTTTTTTTTTTTTTTGTACTGGAGATGGAACTCAGGGGACTCAACCACTGAGCTACATCCCCAGCCCTATTTTGTATTTTATTTAGAGAGAGGGTCTCACTGAGTCGCTTACTTTTGCTGAGGTTGGCTTTGAACTTGCGACCCTCCTGCCTCAGCCTCCYGAGCTGCTGGGATGACAGGCATGCGCCACCCCGCCCGGCCCACTGTGTTTTCCTTGTTGGTTGTCATGATGGATGGCTCTATATGGATGCTTTGGGGGAATGTGATTCTTTCCTGGAGATGAGGTAGGCATTTAAATTAGCAGAGAAACGCCAGATTGCCTCGGGTGGGGAGTGGGCTCTACCAGATAGATAGCTTCCAACAGCGAGCCAGGCCAACTCCCTGCACCCCGTCACACTCATCTTCTGAGTTCTCCTTTTGTGACTGGTAAGAGGCGCCAGACCCTTATTGACATGATTTGCATTTCCCGCTTGCTGGGCAGGCTGAACATTCCTCGTGGGCTCACCCTGCTGGGTCCTTCCTGGGGGGAATCAGGGTGTCTGTGGGATAGGAGCTGCCTGTCCAGCCCAGTACCCCTGCTGGCCCCTCTAACTTCGTCCACATTCACTTAGGGGGGAAAAATCCCAAGTCAGAGTTTGCATTTCCTTGAGTTTTAAATCCTCCTTTCATCTCCATCTGATTTTTTGAGATGATCATTTTGCCGCTGGCACCCCCAGGCAAGGATGCCCTCTGCTAAAGAGTAGTAGCTTGTGACACCCCCTACCACCCTCTTCCCAAGATGGTTTCTTGGGAAGACCCCTACAAATCTGGAAAGACCCCTGCAAATCTGCAGAATTGATTCCCCACAGCGCGGTCCTTCTCCTCCGGACACCCCAGGGTGGGGTGGGGGCCAAGCCTTGCTGTGAACTCCTTGGCTTAGRATCCCCCAGCATGGTCTTCCCGGCCAGCGCTGGGGCTACCAGGGCCTCCCCCSACATCCCCCCATCCCAGCCCAGTTTCCTCCACAGATGTAGACGGTGGGCGTTGTCAAGAAGGGATCTGCTGGGGTGATGGCCTGGCCTGTGCGTCTCACCCCCTCCTGGACTCCCCATTCTTGAGGCTTAGCTACTCTTCTAGTAAAGGCTAAATTGGAAATTCCAGGTACTGGTAAGAGGGCCGGAGAGCCTTTCTGGTTTTGTTTTGGTTTAGTTTGGTTTTTGCAGCCCTGGGGATGGAGCCCAGAGGCACCTTACCASTGAGCTACACCCAGCCCTTTTTATGTTCTTTTGAGGCAGGGTSGAGGTGGTCCTCCTGCCTTGGCCTCCCCCTCCCCTAGTAGCTGGGGTTAGGGTTAGGCAGCACACTCCGCAGGGCTCCTGGTTTGATGTGGCTTTTTGTTCAACTCCAGAATTCCTCCTGATGCACCAGGAAGGGACCCTGACAGGAGGGGTGCAGGGAGGAGGGCCTTCCTTGCCGGCCTTCCTTGCCTCTGCTGGGAGCAGCAGGAGCACCCTGGGGCTGGGGAGCCACATCACTCAGCTTGAGAGCAGCCCGTGCTGGGAGGAGGGCAGCCCTTACTGGAAGTTTCTGCTGCTCCCACTCATATCTGCCCCAGACGTGCTTCTCGAGTAGATGTGATTCATCCTTAGGTCGCACAYGCCCCTCTCACCCCTCACCCTGGGACAGCCATCAGAAGGAAAGCGGGGGAGTCTGCACAGATGGCCAGCTTGGCCCAGCCTGGGCCTGGTGGCTGGGGTGGCCCATCTGAGATCCTGGTCCCCATTTTCCAAAATAGTCCTAAGTCCTTATCTGTTGATGGGCAGATTCAGCAAATCTTAAATGAGCAGCTRCTCTGTGCCTGGCACAGCTCCAGGGGCTCTCGTCCCAGGCTGTCCCAGCCTGTGCTCATACGCCTCCAGCGACAAGTGCTCACTCCTTCCTCCCGAGGCCGCTCTGGCCATCGCGGGCAGCTCTGACATTCAGGTCTTCTTGAAGGACTGACGCTACCTACTGGTTCTGGAAGCAAGTTATCCCCCTCTTCCTCAGAAATACCCCTCCGTGATGAGAAGACCGWGACCTGGCCCCTGAGTCCCCACACGGCTCTCCCACCCTCCAGGGTGTCTTCCCCATCGGGCGTGAGCTTGAGGCCCCTCCCCAGCTCTTCCCATCCACGCATTCAGCAAAAGTCTGTGCGCAGGGCACGGCACAGCAGGTGTCTGCCCAGGGACCCGTCATCCTGCAGGCGGTGGGACAGTCCAGAGACTGTGCTGGCTGCAACGAGGGAGGACCCTGGGCCAGCGCCAGAGACAGGCAGCTCCCCTGGGTGGGGCCAGCCAGCCTGCGGGAGGTGGAAGGGAGGAGCAGCCAGGCGGAGACCAGGGGAGGAGGGGTCAGGGATCCTGTCCACACGGGGGGCTCAGCCACTGGGCAGATGGTGGAAAGGCCTGCGGAGGGACAGAGCCGTGCCTGGGAGGACAGCACACATTCTGTGTTGCCCATGTGCCAGTGGGGGCTGGGTACTGAAGCCCAGCCTGGAACCGGAGGCCCTGGAGCTGTGCCAGGCACAGAGCAGCTGCTCATTTAAGATTAGCTGAATCTGCCCAAATCAAAAAATCCCAGCACACGGTCCTGGGGAATGTCACTCCAGGGCTGGATGCTTTTGACCAGCTTGAGGTTTAGTTGAGGTGTGGCCCTGACTCTTGCTGTGGCCCAGACTCTGGTAGTAGCCTAAACAACTTGGTACAGAAACCACTGTGGAATTTCTCCAGGGCCGGAAGAGCATCCCTGGGGAAGGAAGGCTAAGCAGTTGCCCAATCTGGCCTCGAGGCCAGACCACGGGAGCACTGACTCACACTTTTCCATCCCCAGCCCGTTTGTAAGCTCCAGAACCTTGCAGGGCTCCCTATTGTCAAATGTCCTTTCCGGACGTCACTCTCAGGGAACAGTAGTTCTGTGAGAACAGGGTTCTGTGGTCACCCCCGTTGGAGAAACAAAGTACATTGTGTCTGTCTACCCCCCCAAAACCTTTTTTGGTGAATCTGAAAGTGAGGAAGCCTCTCAGGCTTGGAGGGGATATGCCATTTACAATCAAAACCTCTTCAGTGGGATCTAGGGATCCTTTCTGGTTACATTTCTTTTCTGTTGAACCTGTCATCAAGGCAGTCCCGGGCTTTGATGAAACCCTACTCGGGAAGCCAGAAGTGAAGAGCAGACATGTCCCCAGGGCCAAAGGTCCTGCGTCCTGGTCTGTCTCCTCCTGCTCCCACCGTCCGACCCCTCTGCCCGCCCAGCGCCCCCAGCCCGAGCCTCTCTAGCCCCATGTCAYTGCTCTGGCTGTGCCTCTGGCCTGGGATGGTCCCCTCAGGTCTGCTGTCAGTCATCCTCCACTAAATGGAACCCATCACGAATCCCCCAGATGAGCTCTTCTTCTCTGCTCRTCTCCTGATGGTCAGGATATTTGCATTAGAGGATTCATGAATTTATCTGTCCTTATCTATGAGATTCTTCTTCATTGATTCATTCCCCAGGTTTTTATTTCGTATCTCCTGTGGGCCTGTTCTGGGAACTCTCCTCATGAAACTGAATCATCTAGAACTGACCTCTGTATTGCCCCAAAGCCACGCCCAGGGCCTGGTTCATGCTGGGCAGGCTGGAAGGGGACTGTATTTGTTTRTTGTGTTGCTGTAACAAAAATCCCAAGGTAAGGAACTTTATAAAGAAAAGAGGGTTACATAGCTCACAGTTTTGGAGGCTAAAAGCCTAAGATAGGGTGGCCCCATCCGTTGAACCTCTGGTGRGGTCTCTGGCTGCATCACAGCATGGCTCGTGGCATCAGGGCAGGGGTGCCTGGGACAGGGAGAGATCACATGCCAAGTGCCAGAGAAATTCAGAGACTGAACTCTCGCTTTTAGAGCAACTTGCTGTCTCGGGAACTAACCAGAATCCCTCGAGGACCACATCGATCCCTTCCAGTGACCTCACTTCCTCCACTGGGCCCCTCAGCTTTTGAAGGTTCTGCCACATCCAAACCCTGCCACACCGGGGTCCAAACTCTGGCGTATGGACCTTTGGGAGACCAACCATGTCCCACCACSGCAGGGACCCGGGTTTCTGACATCTTCTCAGCTTGGGCCTTCAACTTCCCCTCCTGGCTGTCAATCACCACAAACTTCGTGGTTTAAAACAACCCAGATTGTCTTCTCGTAGTTCAGTGGTTCCGAGGTCCACCACGGTTGCCACTGGGCAGTCAGGATGTGGCAGGGTGTCCCTCCTGCCTGGGGGCTCTGGGGGGCTGCACCCCTTGTCTTTTCCAGCCTTTGGAGCCTTCTGGATTCCGTGGCTCTGGTTTCAAGCTCCTCTGATTGTTTCCGTTGCCGTCACCCCTTCCGACTCTGAGCCTCTCCTGGGTCCCTCTGTGGTAGGACCCCTGTGGTGGTGTCCGCCACCAAGAAAATCCAGCATCACCCTCGTCTCAAGATCAGCTGATCAGCAGTCTTAGTTCCACCTGCCACCTTGATTCCCCTTTGCCACACCGGGTGACTTGTTCACAGAGTCAGGGACCAGGATGTGGACATCTTGGGGGGATGCTGTTGGCTGACCACAGAGCCCTCCAGGTCTCCTTCCRTCCTACGTGGGACTGCCACCTCACACAGGTCCTGGCACACGGGGTGTGCACATGTCCCTGAGGTTCCTTGCAGCTGGGCCAGAATCCATCCTGCGCGGCCGTCTCTGTGCCTGCTGTCGGGACTCATCTGCTGCCGGGGGCCAGGAAGCACAGAGGTGGGCGCTGGGGGAGCTGCACCCGGGAGCAGATGTCTGTCCTCGAGGTGTGTTCCAGGTGGGGCAGGATGATGCAGTTCAGGGGTCTCTTGGTGAGGTGTTCAGGTAAGTGCTGGGGGGCGGAGAGAGGGGTTCAGCGCCTCCTAGGATCAGGTGACCAAGCCCAGCAAGCTGTGGTGCAGTCTGGTGGCTACTTATCAGCCTGGTGCTTGGCAGAATAACTGTCCTCTAAACACCCACATGCCAATCCCTGGAGCCCCAAGGCTGTCACCTTAACATGGCAAAAAGATCTTCGTGGAGAGTGATGGGCAACCACCCTGAGATGGAGAGACTGTCATGGATTGTCAGGGTGACCTCGATCTAATTGCACAAGTCCTTAAAAGCAGAGAGTCCTTCCTGGCTGTGTTAGAGAGATGATGTGGGAGAAGAGAGAAGTGAGGTGAGAGGGCACAGCCGCCATTGTTGGCTTTGCAGATGGAGAAAGGGGCTGTATCAGACTGCGATGCGTTGCTATAACAAAATACCCRAGGCTGAGTAAAGAGGTGTATTTGGCTCATGACTTTGGTGCCTGGAATCTCCAAACAGCACGGTGCAGTTCCCTGGGGAGGGCCCCCCTCCCCCCCAGCTGTGTTGTAACATGGCGGAGAGGTGGAAGGGGAGACAGCCACCTGCAGGAGAAGGACCCGCGCCAGGGAGGAAGCCAGTGACCTCACAAACAGGGCTTGTTCTTTTCAAAACCGTCTGCTCTGGTGGGGCCACCAGAATGTGCCCCCACGAGGGAAGTGCCAACCCCTCGACACCCTAATCACCCAAGCCTCACCCTCAAAGCTCCCCCAACATCCCAACGCCACCACACCGGGGACCAAGGTGACAACATGTGAACCGTCTGGAGGACAGAGCCCCCACACCACGGCGGGGCCAAGGCGGCCTCCAGAACCTGCAGCAGCGTCAGCAGGCGGCCAGCGGGGCAGCGGGACCCAGGCCTGTAGCCCGGGGCACTGCCCACACTGGGGTGGGCGAGGAAGGACGCGGCCTGCTGACGCCTTGCCTTTAGCCTGCTGAGGCCTCAGCTGGGTGGGGTGACCAGGGAGGGCTCTTCTGAGGAGGTGGCACACGAGTGAGCTGGGGTGCCCCAGGTGAGGGGCTTGGGGTGGCCAGGGGAACAGTGTGCGATGGACCCTGGAGGGAGCATGTGGGGTGCCAGGGGGGTATGGGGAGAGGGAGAGGGTGCCAGGGGTGCCCAGCGGGCGGAGGGCAGGGCAGCTGGGGCAGGGCCTCTTGGACAAGGTCAGGACTTTATTCACAGCTGGGCTGGAAWGGTCTGCGTGTCTCCCCGGGTAGAGGGAAGGTCAGATTCATGTGTTCAAAACACTCCTCTGGCATCTTCTCCGYGAGTGGGGTGCAGGGACAGCGAGGGTGGGAGCAGACCCTCAGGTGGCCACAGGGGGTCAGGTCAAGAGGGCAGGGAGGTGAGGACGAGCTGGTGGAYGTCAAACCTCAGTTAAACAGACACAGCCAGTGACCAGGGGAGGCAGGGAGAGGAGGARTTTCAGAGAGTCCACCTCTGGGGCCTGGGGTGGGCTCCACGCTTGGCAGCAGAGCCTGGTGGATAAGGTGTGTGCAAGATGGGTCCAAACCCTGGCTGGGCTGTGGCATGTGGGTGACTTRAAGTCAGGTCTCTTAACCTGCCTGTGTTTTCCTTTCCCCAGCTGTGAAGTGGGCTGATAGTTGCTGGCTGTTAAGAATTACTTTCCCTGGACCGGTGYGGTGGTGCCCGTCTGTCATCCCAGCAGCTTGGGAGGCTGAGGCAGGAGGGTCGCAAGTTCAAAGCCAGCCTCAGCAACTTAGTGAGACCCTGTCTCAAAATAAAAAACAAAAAGGGCTGGGGCTGGGGCTCAGTGGCTAAGCGYCCCTGGGTTCAATCCCCAGAACTTCTCTTGCCAGAAGCAATCCATGCGGCATCTCTTGCTTTCTTTCCAGCGCTCCTCAAACTTTAAAGTACCTTTGACGCCCCTCGGGAGCTTGTTAAAATGCAGGTCCCCATTCAACTGGCCGCACCTGGCTCACRGTTTGGAATTCTGCTTTCGGAGCAAGTTCCCAGGTGATGCGGTTGGTGGCTGCTGGTCCCAGCTCCTCACCTTGGGTGATCAGGTGTGGGGACTCGCCACCTCCACTCTGGCCCCTCTGGGGATTTTGCATTCGACCCCACCTCGGCCTCAGACTCTGGGCTCCCACAGGTGTGGCCGGGCCCCTTTTCCTCTTGGCTGGGACCAGGTGGGGCTTGTTGAAAGTGAAATTTACCAGGTCTAACAGGGAAAACCAAACCAACCTGAAAATAGGCCCCGTGAGGGTTCAGGCCGCTCCCTCTCGGTGCCGCTCGGGTTGGACCATGGCCTCCCCTTGCACAGCTCAGCACCCTGTGGACACCTTGCCTGGCCTCCAACCTGCCGGGGAACCCCACCCAAAAGCCCCCCGCCAGTCCTCGGGCTTCCCCCTCCCACTCTTCCCTTCCTGACCCCCCCCCAGGCAGGAGCCAGTGCAAAGTCCCAGCCGGTCACCCCTTTCCCCAGGGGCAGAAGCAGTGGATGGGCCCCTCAGCATCTGGGCGCACAGCCCTGGGGAACGGCGGGTCCTTCTTTCTTCTGTCGTTATTTAGGTCCTTAACGTTTAGAGCTTCAAATTTCCCCAGACGCTGCAGACGCCAAGGCTGTCGCTGCCGCTCTGCTGGGACGGGGTGGCTGAGGAGGGTGCTTGTGCCTGGTCAGCGGGGGACACACAGGGGAGGGCAGGCACAGGGCCGGGTGGAAGCTATCTATGCTTGACATGAGGCCAGGCCAGCTTTGGGCCCAGGCGGTGTGCCAGGGGGAAGCTCAGGGTCCCTGGGGCCATTTCTCTCTAGTTTATGTGCTGGGATATCCGGGGAAGGTGGCTTGTCCCTTCTGGGGGTGACAGGTCCCCAAGGGAAGTTCGGGTTTCCATTTGCCCCTGGCCCAGAATAGGGGCTGGATGCCCTTGGGCCGTGTCTAAAGCCAGTTGACTGMAAGCTGGCACGCAGGGTGATCTTGGGCAGCCGCGGGAGCTGGTTTCCATGGTAACAGGCCTCATGGACCACGCCTGGCTTCTGCCACTGTTACATGCATCACTTTTAGACACTAAATGTCCCTTGGCTTGTCCCCATTTTCTGGGCTCTTGTAAATGACATCGCAGGCACAAAAGATCCCCCCGTGTCTCTGCTGRAGAAGCTGCTCTCTGGGGCCTGGGGCATCGGGGGCCTGGTAGAGCTGTGCCCCGACCTGGCCCCACCAATGTCTCTGGGAATGGCTGCGGGGACCTGGGGCTGGTCCCTTTCTCCATAACCCCCACATGGAAAATGGGGCTCCTGGTCCTCCTCTCCCTCCTTCATGGGGCTCTGAGGAGCAGGTGCGGGACATCCTGGCTGAGAGCCCCCCCTCTCTGGAAAGCCAGAGGATAGCACCCCCTGTTGGCAAGCCGCAGACTTACACAGTCTACCCAGAATTGTGGAAAAGGGCTGTCACCCAGGGCCCAGCTCGTTTTTGAGGCGTCCGATGTTTACATGGTGGTTTTAACCATATATCTAAATGGTTAATGTGGGCTGGGGGTGTAGCTCAGGGATGGAGCATTTGCCAAGTATGGGCAAAGCCTTGGGTTGTCTCCCCAACTCTGAAAAAAAAAATAGCTAATAAACATGAGAAAGGAATACAACGATGGTACTCGTCAGAGAAATGCAGATTTAAAATACAAGGAGATCACTGCACAGACACCAAATTGAGTAGAGTTTTAAAAACCAACAACACCAAGCGCTCCCAGGGTATAGACAGTTAGACGCCCGCGGGAGCAGTAGTTTAAAGACTGTCAGAGCTGAGCACATGCACACTTCATGACCCAGCCAGCCCACTCCCAGGTACATGCACAACAGCATGCATAGATTTGGGCACCAAAATGTATGTACGAGAATGTCCCCAGAAGCATCATTATCATCAAAATGTGGAAAGGACCCAATGTCCTTCCAAAGTAGAACAGATAAATTGTGCTCATTCCTGCTCTGTGGTACTACACAGCCACGGCAATGGGAGAGATTCTTACCGTATAATGTCAAATTAAGCCGGACACAGTGGCCCATGCTTGTAATCCCAACAACTCAGGAGACTGAGACGGAAGGATCGCAAGTTGAAGGCCAGCCTGGGCAACTTAGAGGGATTCTATCTCAAAAGGAAAAAGGGGCAGAGATATAGCTCAGTGGTAAGGCACCCCTGAGGGGTTCAATCCCCAGTACCATCAAACAAAACAAAACAAAACAACAAAAAATGTCGAATTAAAGACGCCAAGTACAGGAAAACAGACTGTATGGTTCCACCTAGATCAAGCTCAAAAGCAGACAAGACTGAACCATCTCTGGTGTAGAGGTGAGGCTGATGGGTTCCTTTCCAGAAGGGCATGAGGAGGGTGCTGGGGTGGGGGGCCAGGTCCTGGCTGCTGCTCTGGGTGCACCTTGTGTTCACCCGTCTGAGGACCGAGGGCTCTGGACTTGGGACCTGTGCACTTCTCTGGGGCTGTGTCAGACTTCAATTGACGCTTCTTTTGCTGCTGGGGATTGAACCCAGGCCTTGCACGGGCTAGGCAAGCACTTGACCACTGAACTACACCCCCTACCCTTAATCAATAAGTTTACTAGGAATTTTTATGGCTGGGCCCAACCCAGAGACCGGGTGTGAGGCGGCCATGCAAATTTAGGGGAGGGAGTGGGGTCTTGGTCCAAAGAGGGCCAAGAGAATTTGCTGGAGGGTTGTCTGTGAGTGGGAGAGSAGGGGAGAACAGGAGGCCCCGGTGTTCGGCCTGGTCACGAATTGCCATCACCCCCAGAAGCAGCGGGGTTGGTGGGGATGTGCAACAGAAATTCTGTCCAGTTTCTCTTCTGCAACGAGAGCTGAGTCTCAGGCCTGGTTGGCAGCAGGTGGACTCCAGGCATCCCGGGTCTGGAAGGAGCTGGGACCTGCCTGGCCTCACCAGCTTCTCTCACCCTCCAGGATCGACCCCTCAAGGCCGACTGTGCTGGAGACCCCAACCGCTACTACGACGAGGCTGCCGGAGCGTGCTGCTACCGCTGCTCCCCAGGTGAGTGGCCATGCTGGGGGTGGGGAAGGGGCATCTTTGTCTTCAGGGTTGTGACCSCTGAGAGAATGGGGAGCTGACAGTCATTGTCATTATTGCTCCAGGTTTCTGAGCACTGTCCCTAATGTCACAGAATCCGGCCTCTCTTGCCAGGGTCAGACTGGTGGAATCAGGCTAGGTGTGTTGCTGGTGCAGAGAAGCAAGTCCCTCTGTGTGGGGATCTGTTATTAATTCACAGCTGCCCCTCACTGGACATTTGCCCTGTGTACACTAGTCTGAGACCCGTGTGCTGTTTCTCTAGTGGTCACCACTTTCCCTTATCAGTCCCATTTGTAGATGAGGCCATTGGGGCTCAGCAAGCTTCAGTAAAGTGCCCAGGTCACAGAGCTGGGGCAGGGTGGAGCCATCTGGGGCTGGACCCTGGGGCTTCGTGACCCCAGGGCCTGGACTGTCACCATTCCTCCACTGTCCCTCCTTCCTGGGGTCTGGAAGCCCTCTCTGGTGTCTGCTCCAGCGCAGAGCACACATTTTGTCCCAGGGTGACCTGGACTACAAATTTCTARGGGAACAGAGCTTGCTTGACCACAGCTGGCTTTCTGGAATGCTCACTCACCCCCAAAACGGTGGCAGATGATCAGGAAATCCTTCTGGGACATTCTTCAAATGATGTTTAGGMCAAGGAGGTGAGCAAATAGAACAGGGTCACGGGGCCTTTTGGTCCCCCTGTGGTTATTATCAAAAGTCCCAAGGCGCAAGCAGTGACCTCAGATGGCTGGGCATGTGATAAAGTTGCAGTGTGGTCTCTGACCTCAAGAAGAGAGATTGCCACTGGGCGGGAGAGACCTACACTTTGACAGAGAGGAAGTCCCTGTACGTGACTTGTCACTCGTACATTAGAACTGCCACTTGCTTTGAGTAGGGCAGGACCCTGGGAGTGGGCAGCTGCTGTCTGGAGGGCTTCCTGGGCACGAGGAGGTGGGGCTCATCTGCCCACTCTTGTCTCCTGCCAGCCCTGCTGCTGGAGGGTGGCCACAGCTGTGATACACAGGTAGGAGGCAGAGGGGATGTGGCCCTAGCTGGGCAAGAACCTAGTGAGGCCGTTCCCAGACCTGTGGCCTCTTAACTTTCCCGTGAGAGCTGGACCCAGCAGGCACATCGGCCGCCAGAGGACAGAGACAAGTGTTTGGGGGGAAAATTTGATACTTTCTATTTCCAAAGACAACTCAAAGTAGTTATCATGGGAGGGAAAGTGGGACTTCGTTGAACTTTGTTGCCATATTTAATGGTTTTGTGTTGATTTTGGATGATGTCACGAGGGTCTTCGTGCTGGGTTCAGTGCTGGGGACCTCAGTGCTGAACAGGTCCCCCAGCTTGCCCTGCCCCCTTGTCTGCCTGCCCGTCCGTATTGGTCTGCTCCAGCCACCGTCACAGAAGGCTGCAGACAGGTGGCCTGAACAAGTCATTTTCCCCTGGAGGCTGGCAGGGCCAGGATCAAGATTCCAGTAGGACTTGGTTTCTTTCTTTCTTTTTAAATATATATATATATTTTAGTTGATGGACCTTTTATTTTATTTATTTATATGTAGTGCTGAGACTTGTACCCAGAGCCTCACACATGCACTGAGCCACAACCCCAGCCCCAGGCCTCGGTTTCTGATGAGGACCCTCTTCCTGCTTTATGATCAGCTGCCTTCTGATAGTGTCTTTGTCTCTTCTCTTCCCCCTCTTCCTATGAGGCCACAAGTCCTATGTGATTAGGGCACCGCCCTTAATGACCTCATTTAACCCCAATTACCTCCTGAACTCCTGTCTCCAAATACAGTTACAGTGAAGGTTAGGGTGTCAATATATGAATTGGGGGCTATGCAATTCAGTCCCTCCCATTATCCTCCCACCCATCCCCTGCCCTCTGCCCACCTACCCAGCTGCCCAGCCAGCAAATGTCTTATACTGAGGCCACTTCTCACCTTTCCAGCTCTTTCTCTGGGAACTGCTGGGTGTTTCGGAGCCTCTGGGCCTTAAGACGTGCCTGTCCCCTCCTGTCATCTGCACCTGCTGCAATCCCAGCATCCCCTTCCTTGGGGGGCCTTCTTGAGAGCCCAGTGCTGGGGGTGGCTCCACACACATCTCCCCAGCCCCTCTTGTTGGGGATTTCGCCCTCGCCCCCGTCCCTGGGATCGGTGTGACCCACAGTTCTCTGTGAACCSCCAGGGACCCCACCATCCCAGCCACAGGAGAGAGAGAGCGTCCTTCCCACCCCCGTGTCCCCTGGATCCCAGCCTTGACAGGGAGCAGGTGCAGGGGGAGTGACATCCTGGTCCCAGGTGCCCTGCACTTAGAAGCTGTGGCTTAGGAAGGGGCTCCTCCCACCACTTCCCCTCTCCCAGGTGCCGTCCTGGAGGTGGCCGGGCACCCGGTGCCTGGATGTGGGCGGGGCATTTTGCTGGAGTTTTATTGACCCTGCGCTTCTGGGTAAGTCACAGAGGAATCTCAAAAAACCCACAAAAACCCCTCCCTCCGTCTTTGGGGGAAATTTCTGACATTTTGTCTGCCCTGCAATCAGGGCTCGGTGCGGGTCAGTCGGGGTGTGCCCGTGGGCGGGTTGGCAGAGGAAGGAAGCTGGAGCCTCTGAGATGGAGGGCTTGATGCCTCCCCCTCCGCTCACTCAGGCTGCCGTGCCTCTTCACGCCTTCAGACAGCCCCTCGCTGGCCCTCGCTCGCGCACCCCTGGGGTCAGGGAGCTCCCTCCTCTCTCCCGGGTGGGACATGCAATGTGGCAGCCCACGAGGCTGCTGGGAAGGCCTGCATGTGGCCATCTACTGAGCCACCCTGAGATCTTCCCCTGGACACTGCTCTCGGGGGCTCGGGGAGCCTGTKGGGAGCCCTGCAGGCCCTTGGTGTTCCGCGCACGGATTCTGGACCCCTCCCCTGTGCTCCAGGACTCGCTGTCTGCCCGGGATTTTTCCAAATGTTCTGCAGAGAGCACAGCTTGCCTGGGTCTGGGCAGGCGAGTCCGTCCCGTCCCAGCCCCTCTGCCATCCGTGCTTGGTCCCGTCCCAGCCCCTCTGCCATCCGTGCTTGGTCCCGTCCCAGCCCCTCTGCCATCCGTGCTTGGTCCCGTCCCAGCCCCTCTGCCATCCGTGCTTGGTCCCGTCCCAGCCCCTCTGCCATCTGTGCTTGGTCCCGTCCCAGCCCCTCTGCCATCCGTGCTTGGCTGGCTCCTCTTCACTGCGGCCCCCAGCTCCAGACCAGCTCCAGTGTCTGTTGTTGCTCTGGGCTCCGGTGCCTTCCCGTTCCACTCTCCTGACCCTCATTCCACCTGTCAGGACCTGAGTGTCTTGTCATCCTGCAGGGTCCCCTGCCCAAGCACAGGGTTGGCACCTAGTAGTTTCTCATTCAATGTTTGAATGAATGGAAGAGTGACTCCGGCTGGGTTGTCCTAGCGCGCAGTTCTCTGTGTCACCTGGGGTCCAAGCACCTTTTGCTGCTGACGTCAGACCTGCAGGGGTCGAGATCCTCATAAGTGTCACAGAACCCAAGCTCAAGCTCGTCTCGGAGGCAGGACACAAATGGGCAGTTGTTGCCTCCTCTCCCTGCCTGTCCCTGCTGCCTGTCCCTCCCGCCTCCGTCTCCTCCGACCCCTGCCCTAGTCTGTGGCCATGACAACAGAATACCACAGACTGGGGAACTTATAAAAAAACAGAAATGTATTTCTCATGGTCCTGGAGGCTTGAAGGACCAATTTTGAGGTGCTGGCTGTGGCAAGGGCCTCCTTCTGTGCCGTCCTATGGTGGAAGGCAAGAGGGTGACCTTAATCCACAGTAGTGACATTAATCCATTCTCGAGGGGCAGAGCCCCCTGGTCTAGTCACCTCCTTACTTTCCACCATTTTTTTTTTAAATAAGGTAAACATGTTCTTCCTTCCTTCCTTCCTTCCTTCCTTCCTTCCTTCCTTCCTTCCTTCCTTTCTTTATTAGCTTTTTGTGGACACAGTATCTTTATTTTATTTGTATGTGGTGCTGAGGATCGAACCCAGCGCCCCGCGCATGCCAGGCAAGTGCGCTACCACTTTTTTTTTTTTTTTTTAAAGAGAGAATTTTTTTATGAGAGAGAGAGAGAGAGAGATCTTTCTTTTGAGAGAGAGAGAATTTTAATATTTTATTTTTTAGTTCTCGGCGGACACAACATCTTTGTTGGTATGCGGTGCTGAGGATCGAACCCGGGCCGCACGCATGCTAGGCGAGCGCGCTACCGCTTGAGCCACATCCCCAGCCCCAGTGCGCTACCACTTGAGCCACATCCCCAGCCCACTTTCCACCTCTTGACCCTTGTCCGGGAGATTGAGCTTCCAACACAAGTGGCTGCATCCTAATCCCTTCTGTTGGTGACCTTCTCTCTCTCTGTATGGTGGCCTGCCCTGGCCTCCCTGCCCTTGGCCAAGCTTGCCTGGCCCACAGCCCCCCCAGTCTGCAGGTCTCTTTTAGGCCACCAGGAGGGCAAATTCTTTCAGCCCCCAAGTCCAAAGCACAAGAAGAAAGCACCCAATGGCTCAGATAAATGCGAATGGCCACCTGTGCCGTGGTYACTCAAGGCCAGGACTGCCCCAGACCACTTTTGGGGTGGGGAGAGGGGTGGAGCAGGGAGCGATTCTCCTGGGAGGGCAGCCTGTGGGCCGGGAAGAACTTCCAAATGTGTCTCTGCAGCAGCTGGGGGGATCCCGGGTGAGGCCACCAGGAGCCCTGGGGGACCTGACTGTTTGGAGCAATCAGGGAGGCTGGCATTTTGAGGGTGGCATCTGAGCATCCTGAGGGCGAGCAGGAGCTGGCCAAGTGGGGAGGGGTGTGCTCAGATTGGAGGGCACGGGATATGTCAAGGCCTGGGGGTGAGCAAGGTTGGGCTGCCCCAAAACTGGGCTAGGAGGCGGGGCGGGTCATTTGTCCAAAGCACGAGTGATGAGGCAGCTGGAAGGGGAGGGGTCAGCGGTCTGGACACCCGCAGGAGCA